AAACTTTTAAATTTTGATGTAGTCCAATTGATGTATTGTTACTTTTATTGCCTGTGCCTTTGCTGTCCTATTCAAGAAATTATTGCTAGATCCAATGTCTGCAACTTTTCCCCTGTTTTCTTCTGGTGGTTTTATAATTTTAGATCTTAAGTTTAGGTCATTTATCCATTTTTGAGTTGATTTTCGTATACGGCATAAGGTAAGAGTCCAGCTTCATTCTTTTGCGTGTGGATGTCCAGCTTTCCCGACACCATTTGTTGAAGATTGTCCTTTTGCCCGATTGGATGGCCTTGGGTACTCTTGCCAAAAGTCATTTGACATGTATGTGAGGGTTTATTTCCGGTATCTCCAGTCTGTTCTCTCGGTCTGTTCACCTGTCTTTATGCCAATACCACACTGCTTTGATTACCATAGCCTAATAATAAGTTTTGAAACCAAGAAGTATGAGACCTCCAACTTTTTCAAGATTCTTTTCTCTGTTCTCAATCGCTTGAGAGTCTGTGAATTTTAGTGTGGATTTCTATTTCTGGAAAAAAAAATCCATTGGGATTTTAATAAGGATTGCATTAAATATATAGATATCTTTGGCTAGTGTTGTCATCTTAACGATATTAAGTCATCCTACCCATGAACGCAGGATGTCTTCCCATTCATTTGTGTTTTTGGCACTCGTTTTTGAAGGCCCTTTTTAAGCACAGCACCATCTTTGATCATGGAAAATGGAAAAACTGAATATTTTTCCTAGAGCAGCTTACAGTCCAATCTGAATAAGACAAATTAGAGAATACATCAAGAGCAAAGATGAGAAACGACACTGGTTGAGTGCATCAAGGTGATGCCGTGAGGGTCAGAGAAGGAGAGCCTGTCTGACCAGCATGAGGACCCCGGGGAGACTGCTGGGTGTGGAACAACCTGTGGAAAGAAGTGGTAAAGCCAGGGACCCAGGGGGTTGGTGATCTGCATGACCAAAAGTGAACCAGAAGGTTGAAGTAAAAAGCAAACAAGCCTGAGAGACGAAGGGAACAGAGACAGGACACCTTAAGCAGGGTCTGAGCTGGCAGGCAAACAAACCAAAACCAGTTTCTTAGGAAACTTCCTACCGACCTCAGACCTGGCAGTTCTGCCAAGAATATGCTCAGGTTAGTGTCTGGAGCTCTGTAGCACTATCAGTAAAAAGACCATAAAACAAGGAATCTTTGGTTCCGAGCATGTGCGGTGCAGAGGACAGCCAGTTGGGCATGTGATGTTGAAGTTCCTGGGGTTCTGGGCCAATGTGTGCTTGGAGAAAAGGCATATGTGCAGTTGTCTGCTTGGGACAGGAAGGAAGAATGGTTCTGTCATCATGAAGGGCCCGGCTCTACAGGTGCTCATATGCGTCGTCTCACTTAGCCCCCTTATGGCTCTGGGAGGCAGAGATCCTGACTTCCATCTACAGATGAACCGGGATCGGGGCGCCTGGGTGGCTCAGTCACTTAAGCGTCTGACTCTTGGTTTGGGCTCAGGTCATGACCTCGTGGGTTATGAGATGGAGCCGTACGACGAGCCCCTAGTTGGGCTCCACGCTCAGAGGGGAGTCCTCTTGAGAGTCTCTCCCTCTGCTCCCCCATAAATAAGTAAAATCTTTTAAAAAGATAAAATAAAGACAAACAGGTAGGTCCAGAGAGAGCATCCCAGAAACGTTAAACCCCCAGCAGTCCCACCTGTCTAACACTACCTAAGGCCCACATCTATATCCACTTTCCCTGAGGTCAGAAATGGGGGACGGGTAGCAAGCCTGGCCTCACTGTATCTGGGGCAAGGGATCCACGTGCGTTCTAATCCCAGATCGCAGAGCTGCGCAACTGCCTTCTACTTAAAGGAGGCCTCAATGACACAAGACCCAGAAATCAAGGCTCTTGGAGCATCCTGGAAGGGAGTTAGTTCCAGAAGAATGTCTTCTTCCCTTCTCTGTCCCTTGCCAGGAAAGATCAGAAGTGCAAATCCTAGAATGTGAACATGGGACAGCCCCTGAGAAGAGGGCACCAGGCCTTAGCCGTTCACTCCAGGGCGCTCCCTTAGATCAGCCTGATTCGGAACTCGTCACTGAGTGCTGCTAACCTGCATGACAGGAGTGAGCTAAGACCTGATGAGAACCAGCCATGGGGGTGCGTGTGGGCTGTTGCCTGCATGCCGCAGCAGGCACAAGTTTGCCAGCCCCAAAGTGGCTCTTTGCCTGATTAGATCTAAGGGGAGTGTGCACACTGTGGATGGTGGTGAAACCCAGTGTGGCCATAATTATTGAGATAAGGCGCTCAAAGGAAACACGTACCTGTTGAACAGCAAACCTAGTTCTCACCCCAGGAGGGGTCCAGGAAGGCCTCTCACCAGTTTTCATGGTCGATCTGGTTCTGTCCCAGGCAGTGGGACTGGCCCTGCCTCCCCAAAGGGGCATGGCAAGGTCGCTAGCTATTTCTCTGTTTCATTCATTTGTTCATGTTTTTTTCCCCAATCCCCAAAAACTGCCATCATTCTATAAAACATTTAATCAGTAGACACGGGGTTAAGCAGGGAGAGGTTCCCCTCTGTTCTCGTATTTTATCCTAGTTGGTGATTAAAATGATATAAGAGTTGGCAGGCTCCTTGGAGCCTTTCTGGTTGTGCCTGGTTACGAATGGACTGTGGCATATCTCACATGTTCTTTTTTTAATCTTAAGATTTTATTTATTTATTTATTTGAGAGACAGTTCGAGAGAGAGCGCAAGGGGAGGGGAGGGGCAGAGGAGGAGAGAGAGGCAGCCTCACCCTGAGCAGGGAGCGGGATGCGGGCTGCAGCCCAGGACCCGGAGATCACCACCTGAGCCAAAGGCAGATGCTAAACCCACTGAGCCCCCAGGAGCCCTTCACGTATTCTTAAAAAGGTGCCTCAGGACCGCGCCATCCATGGCACACTCGGCGGGGGGCGGGGGGGCACCTCGGGGAGCCTCTCCTGCCCTGTAAGGAAGTTAATGTAAAGTCACTAGTTGTGTTCCTCCGGGGGAGCTGGTCACTAGGAACACGGGCAGAAGGGGCGCTGGGGTGGCCGTCGGTTGAGGTCTGCCTAGGCTCAGGTCATGATCCCGGGGTCCCGGGTGGAGCCCCACGTCACGCTCCCCGCCCAGGGAGCCCTCTACCTCTGCAGGTCCCCCTGGTTGTGACGTGCTCTCTCTCGCTCTCTTGCTCTCTCTCTTGCTCTCAAATAAATAAATAAATCTTAAAAAAAAAAAAAGAATGCTGTCAGAAGAGGCGTTAGTTAATCCTCTCCGTCTCCACTGGGCTCACCACTCTTCGTGCTACAAGTGCACGTGTGGACGGCCGTCTCCACAGAACAAGGCCAGGGAAGGAAGAGGCTGTAGATCCCAGAGATGCCCCAAACATCACATCCAGCCCTGCCCCTCCCCAGCTGTAGGAACTGAGGCCACGCACAGGTGGCCGGTCGCTCGCACAACCCCAGGCCGCTAGGTAGTTACCTAAGACCTTTTTTCCATAAGGTGAGGCTCAGACTCGCTGGCCAGGAGGCGTGCCGGGAAGTTCACTGTGTTCTTTTTAGGGCGCTCTGGAAGATGAATTTGGGGAACTGTGAAACCAGGAGCCAGTCACCCACATGAAGAAATAAAACATGTTGGGACTGTTTTCTTAAAGAGGCCTTAGGACCGTAACATCTAAGAGATGCCTTTGAAGCACAGTAAAAATGTCTTTATTAGAGAAGGATACAATAAGCTTTCCTTCGGGAATAAAGAAGAGATGGTTTGGAAGGAAGAACCCACTATGATAACTGGCCTTTTGTTTGAGAATGAGTTGGAACGCAGCAAAAGGAAAGAGCCGCCCTTTGGCCTGCACATGAACAAGATGGAGTAATTAGGGCAAGAACACTTGGATCTGTTGCCCTCGTGCCTTGTGTAACACCCTTCTTTCATGTCACAAGGTGCAATAATAGAGGATTCCATTTCCTCTAGGAATCTTAGTTTAACGGATGCATTATTAGGAAAATCAAAATGTATTACTACTTGTGCTCGACAAGAGGCTACATACACAACGTCACAAACTTTTTAACCTTGTTGTCACGTAACACATGAGTCTAATATGTTAAACTGAGATTGAGAAATCATCAGATAGTGTGAGCTCCCAAATTGACCCCTGAGACCGAGTTTTCTCATCTGTTAAGGGGTGAGTGATGCATACCTGGTGGAGGTGAGTCATAGCAAGACTGTGCACAAACCCCACAGCAAGGAAGTCTCATGTCTTCCTAGTACCCAGATCTATTTGCTGAGAGCCACATCGCAGCATCGGTCTCCAACAGTACCCTGATGCCCAGAAAGGGCCGATGCACTGTGCCACCGAAGCCGTTGTACGGCAGGTGATTTTTAGCAAAATCTGAAACCTGGCATGTGAGTGGTGTTTTGTAGCAATATTCTAAGTTAACACTTCTTTTAAAAAAATAATAATTCTAATGACATTTGTGTATTTTAAAAGCTTTCCTTAAAAAAGAAAAGGCCATGTCCTCTCTGGTTCTGATTCTGTATAGTGTTGGCTTTACAGCCATTATATTATATCTGCAGATTCAGAGCAATAAAGTCAAGGAAGAGTCGTAGGGAGAAGATGGCTTAGGTTTTAGATCCTTTATCACCAAGAACTCTCTGCCACAGCCTGCAGAAATACCAAATACCAAAGAGCCAGCAGCCAGCAACCACCACAGTATTTTTACGCTTAGACCAATAAAATGCAGCTATTTTACGAGAGTGATTTCATTTAAAATTGTTGGTAGTTGCGATGTTTCATGATCGGGGAGCGGTGATTCACGTGAGGGTCAGGAAGCTAGCAGGTTCAGCGCTCTATGCAAAACAGCTTTGCATTCTGGTTGCGGAAGCAAGAGCCGTGCTCTTCCTTGTAGAGAGGAAAACGTAACGGTCTATTTTTTTTTAAAGATTTATTTATTTATTTATGATAGACATAGAGAGAGAGAGAGAGAGAGGCAGAGACACAGGCAGAGGGAGAAGCAGGCTCCATGCCAGGAGCCTGATGTGGGACTCGATCGCGGGACCCCAGGATCACGCCCTGGACCAAAGGTGGGCGCCAAACCGCTGTGCCACCCAGGGATCCCCCGTAACTGTCTATTTTTAACAGTCTTTGGAAACTTTCTCATCTAGAACAGCGAGGAATAAGGATTCAGTGGAAGTGATGCTTTTTGTAGGTTTTTCTCAGGTAAATTCAGTGACATTGTGTTGCTAGTTACCAAATGAAGCCAGACGTTGGGGGGCAGCCCTGGGGGTGATGTGGAAATGGCCTGTGGAGCCTCCTGGTTACCGACTGCAGCTCGTAGGCAGCTCCTGACAAGTGTGCAACTCTGAGAGCGCGGCGTTCACACGAGCCTGGAGGCCGAAATGTGCGGGTGTGTCAGAGACGGGGCTGCCTGTGGCCGCCCTTCCCACGGAGTCACGCTGCTCACATCGTCACCTGGAAGGAACAATAGTAGGAAAATCCTGAGAGGAGAGGACACCGTTGGCCAGATCCTAGAGCACAGGCCTGTCCTCATCAAATCAGGCCTTCCTGCCTCTCACCAAGGAGTGGGGTCCGCCCTCCAGGGCAGCATCCTGGGCTCGCTGTAGGCAGACGGCGGGGCAGTGGGCACACCACGTCCATTGCACTGGGAAGATGCCCCCTGCATGGAGCCCCTGCACCCCAAGGACATGCATGTGGAGCTGTGTCAGTGGGAATAGTGTAGAGCCGCCGGCCTTGGGGGAAGACCAGGGGCCCCTCAGCTGGCTCCCCGGGGACAGGTCTGATGTAGGTCCAGATGGAGCAGAGGCCACCCAAGAAGGAGCAACGGCTGGCCCTTCCCACGTTGCTGCAGAAGGCGTCCGGGACTCTGCAGGACTCAGCCCAGACACCCTCTTCTCTGCGGGGCCTTGTCTGCCCCACGAAAGAGTGGGTCCCCACCTCTCCTCCCTTTCCCCTCCAATGTCCCCGCTCACGAACCGGGCCAGTGAGCCGCCGTGACTGGCTTCTGTGTGCAGCTGGAGGCACCGTGGCGGCTTGGGTAACTGGAGTCTCAGCCACATGGACGCTTCCAGACCCTTCCGCCCACTGGGGACTGTTCCTAAAAAAAAAAAAAAATCCCAGCCCAAATCCCTGCTCCTGCACGCCGAAGGCAAGGCGATATATTTCTCCCCAGGGCTGTGGGGACTACCTGACTTCAGGGCTCTGCTGCTTCTGCTGGGCTCGGAGCCGCGCCCCGATCCCCTGCGTCTTCCGCGTCCCGCCTTGCGTGGCAAATCGGATGCTCTGTAAGTGCAAGGATTCGGCAGACAGGCCATCTCCTCACCAAGAGGACAGCTTCAAGTCATATATCGGGCAGGCTGGTTCCCCGAGTCCCTGGCCACTGCTCCCCAGGAGAGGGATCAAGACCCGGTCCCCGGCCCCTGCTTAGCTCCCCCCACCCCCACCAGGTCTTTGTCGCCTTCTAGCAAAGTGCTTTCTGTCTCTTTTTGTAAATACCTTATTTGCTTATGCGAGAGAGCAAGAGTGAGGATGAGAGGGAGCGTGGAGACTCCGAAGCGGAGCCCGCACTGAGCAGGGCCCGACGCGGGTCTCAACCCACAACCTGAGCCGACACCCAGAGCCGGAGAGCCAAGTGACTGGGCCACGCAGGCGGCCGCACGAAGCCATGTCCTCGCCGGCTGCGGAGGGCCGGGGCTGACCCCGCACCACGGGGGCTGGGGCGGGCGGCTGGGGCGGGCCGAGCGAGGCCGCCGGGAGTTCACCGCCCCCTCCAGCCTCGTGGCACCGAGCCTGGTGTGCTCACGCTCAGTCCCCGGGGGGTGGGGACATCCTGAGCCTGCGCGGGCCTGCTGGGCTGTGTGACGTGCGCGGAAGGCCCGGAGTAAACCTGGAGAAGTAGGTCCGATCACGTCAGATACTGGAAGTCGGTGGGAGAATTTGGATTTTATTTGGCGGCTAATAGCGGTTTCTAACTGAAGGGACGTCAGGAAGAGCCTCTGACAACATGGGCATCGCTGCAGGGAGAGGAGGGACGCTGCAGCGGGGGAGACGCGGGTCCGTGGGGAAGGGGGACCGTCATCCAGTGCCTGTAGTCCGAGGGCCGTGAGACGGAAATCTGACAGCGAAGGATTTGGAAATGAATGACGTGGACAAAATACAGAAGCGCCCATGTCGACCAGGATTTTAGGGGCGGGAGGGGCCAGCGATGGTTAGGGCGCAGCAGGGGAGGGAACAGGCGGGCGTCGAGGGAGGGGCTGGACCAGAGCACCCGCATCTGTCGCGGCTCCTCGCCGGGAGCCTCCTGGGCACCGGGCACCGTCCACGTGCCGAGGACAGGGGCAGGTGGGCGAGGCGCCTCCCGCCCCCTCGGAGCTCGGGCCGACGACGGAGCAGTTACACTAGGGCCGCTGGGAGGATTCGGGCACAGACAGGAGCTGGACGGGCGCCCGGAGGGGAGACTGTGCCCCGCAGGCTGCTCACACCTGCACCCGCGCATCCCTGCAGCGGGCCTCAAACCGCTGTCTGCCTGTGGGGGGCTTTTAATGCCATCGGGGGAAGGAGCCCCAGTGGTCAGAGGCAGAGGGCTGTGGGGTGAAGCAGGCCGGAGGCCGAGGCTCCTTCCCTTCCATCCCCACTGACTCCGTGACTTTAGGCGACTCCCTGACTCCCCGTTCCCTCATCTGCGACATGGAGATGACCTACACCTGAGGTCCCCGGGAGAATGAGCCCACACACTGGCTGGAAACCACCTAGTAAGTGTGCAGGGCTGGCAGCTGGAGGGGCACCCTGGGCATGGAGCTATGGGGCACCTGGCCCGCTCCTCCCTGCCGGCCAGTCCGCACTCTGCCCACGTGCCGGGTCGGTGTCCCTGACCCCTGTCCCTCAGCGGCATCCTCGCGGGGTCCTGGGCTCCCCCCACTGATGTGTGTGCAGCCCTGCAGCCGGGCAGGGGGCGCAGTGCGTCAGGTGTAGCAGGGAAGGAGGTCGGCAGGGGCTCGGAGGGGGCAGGCAGACAGTTGGGCCCGGGAGGGGGCGGGGGACAGCTGTGGGCCCTCGGGCCAAGCCTCACCTGCCCTCGTGTCCTGGCCACAGCTCCGGGCGCGGTGCTCATCTCACAAGTGCTGGACCGGGGTTCGCAGCCTAGTCCCTCTGCCCGGTGCACCTGCTTTTCAGGCTGAGGCTTAAGTCAGTGACGAGGAAGAGCAGGATGGGCACGGGCAGCTGCGGCCCCAGGGCCTCTTGCTGGAGCCCTGGGCCTCACATGGCACACCCGGTGGCCTGCGGGGCATCGGGCAGCCCAGGCCCTGGTGCAGCCGCGGCCTTACTCACAGTAGCATGTGACACATTTAAAAATAACGAAACTGAGGCTGGGGTAGTGAGTGCGGGTGCCGGGGTTGCGCTGGGGCCCTGCCAGCCTCGTGCTCAGGCCCAGCCCGGGGCACGGAGCCCCGGCGCCCCCACTGCCAGTTCCGGAGATGCTAACGCCTCTGTGCCCTTCGCCCCCTGCTCCGACACCTACGCTGTCTTTACCTTTGCCCTTTGCTGTCCTCCCTCCCACTCACTCTTCACGGCCCAGCTCGGGGGTGTTTACTCTGGAAAGGGTTCCATGCCCCAAGTCCTGCAGGGCTGCGGTCCCCTCCCCCTCTTGTGACCCTGCAGGGCTGCTCGGAGAGACCTGGGTTCGAATCCAGACCCTACCGGGAACAGACACTGGGCGCATCACGGCTCTCCCCGGAGCCTCACTTCCTCCTGGAGCTGCACGGGGCTGGGCCGATCACCCGCTTGCAGATGGGCCGAGGGGCCCGCACGTAGGTGTCGCCACTGCCAGCTCCGAGGGCTCCCCGCGCCCCCACCCCTAAACTGGTGACTGGGCCCAGGGCTTCCCCGACTTCTGCAGTGAGCGGCAGCCGACGCGCCCGGCACCCGGGTCCTGAACGGCCAGGGCTGGGAGCAGGGGCGGCTCACTGGCCCCAGAAGGGGAACCTGGCCGAGAGCCCCCGAGCAAGGCTTGCTGACCCGGCCACACTGCGGCAGGACAGGCCACTCCCCTGTGACTTGTGTCCGTGGCAAGCGGCTCCGCTGTCAGCACCACTGGCCCCGCACGCCCGTGCCTCTGTGCTCCGGCGGGGAGGCAACGTGCTGGAAACAGCCAGTCTGGCCGGCGACAGGGAAAGCTCCCCAGACGTCCGGGGATGCCTCTGCGGGGACCGTGGGAAGGCCCAGGGCGACCTGAGCCCCGTGCAGCCCCTCAGTACCCGAACCCTTCCTCCGCCCTCGGGCCACCTGCCTCCCACCCATGCCCCCCGCGCAGGGCCATCCAGCCGTGAGCACCCAACCTCGCCGGCCGGAGGTGCAGCCAGGCTCGGGAGGCCTCTGTCACCTGACCCTGCACTCGGTCACCAGCCCCTCCCCACTGCCCCGCTCTGCCCGGAATGAACTCGCAGTGCAGGGCTGCGGCTGAGCCAGACGGAGGCCCCACTGGAGCAGGACCCGAGGGCCACGGCTCCGTGCAGACGGATGCAGGGGCATAGCTGTGCGGGCACCAGCGACTGGGCCAACAGCGAGCAGGGCCTCGGAGGAGGAACTGTACAAGTCCTTCGGGTCCATCCCTCCCCTCACTTACAGATGAGGAGAGCTCGGGGCCAGGAGCTCACCCGCAGGCCAGAGCTAGGCCTCAGCCCTGCGACCCCCCGTCCTCCCGTACGCAACCCCGGGGAGGCCTTTCCAGGACGTCAGGCACACTCTGGGAGCTGACGGGGTGCGCAGGGCTGCTGGGCTCGGGCCCTGGGCACCCCCAAGCCGGCCTTTCCCCTCTGCTGAGCACCCGCCAAGGCCCCTGCACAGGGCTGCATAGACGCTCAGGAGTCTGATCCATGGAAGTCCCCGAACCACTCCATTGAGGCATCACTGTGACACAGTGGGCATGACCTTGAACCAAGTCCCGGCCTTCACGTGTGCCAGCCCCGAGTGGACCCGTCAGCCCTGCCCCAATCTTGACAACGCCTGCCGTGGCTGGCACTCGGGCCCAGGACCTTCTGAACTGCTGTCAGTCGACAAAGACGAGCCCACTTTCAGTGCCCATGAGCTTCCGTGGGCCTGATGCAGCCCGAGTCCTGAACCCCCTGGGACTCCAGCCTCGTCCCTCCCTGAGCATCTCTGCAGAGTGCAGTGCGCACGCCGCACACCGGGGAGGGTGAGGCCCTGCCTGGTGCTTTTATCAGCCCATGGAGCAGGAGAAACAGCAGGAAGGATGTGCCCCCCAACAGCCCCGACGTTCGCAGCATGTCCTGTCCGTCCTCTCTCTTGGCCCCCTTAGTCATTAGGGATGACAGCACGGAGGACCGTCCTCTGGAAACCCTCTGGGGGAGGCAGCGTAGGCGCAGCCGTGTCCCCCAGGCAGTGCCAGGAAGGCAGAGGGAGCAAGCGGCCGGGGCCCCAGGGAGGCCCAGCACCTGGCCCTGCCCCGCCGCGGGCCCTTGGAGGGGCTATGGCCTTTACGTTTCTGTGATCGATAATTCCTCACATCCGGGTGGAGCCCCGGTCTCCAGAGCATTTTCACGTACGCTCCGGTGTTGTTTCAGGGCCGCTGGCGGAGCGGGGACCAAGGCCTTGTTTCTCTGCGACATTAAAGCCTGCTCCCCGTGGCAGCCGTGCAGGCGGCCCCGCGGGCTTTGTGAGTGAGGCCGCCCCAGGGCCACCGGGCACCTGCCAGGGGCTGCTGTGCAGGGCACCGCGCTAGGAGTCCCCCCAGGGCTCCATCAAAGCCAAGCGGACTATTTTCCACTGCATTTTCCTGAAAGGATGTTATGATTTTCTAGATGTTTGGTGGCTGGCGATAAATCAGGCTTTTATGATGTCATGTGAAAGGCCGCCTCTCGGACTTCCTCCTGCCACAAGCCAGAGATTAGAGCGGCCGTGTGGGTAGGGCGGCGTGGACGGAGCGTCCTGCGGGGCCGGGGAGGCGTGGGCCACCCCGGCTCCTGCCCCTGAGCTAACCGCACTTCCTCAGCTGCGGGCCGTGGGCATCGCATCAAGAGCCAAAACAGGACTGTGTGTCCGTGGAGGGACGGGGGCACTCAGGTGAACGTACGAGACGTTTCCTTGCAAGTAGTTCGGCCCTAACGGCGGCGGCGAGGTTAGGGGAAAGGTGACCTCGCTGCGAGCGTTTGTAAACGCGCTTGACGCAGCCGAAAGGCTCTGGCTCGGGCCTGGTCGGGGCTCAGCCCCGCGGGGAGCCTTAGGCCTCCCCAGTGCTGCCCCCCCACCCGTGCGGCGCCCACGCCACGTGCAAACCTCCCGCGCTCGGGCCTGGCACCCGAAGCCTCCAGTGGCTCAGAGCGCGAGCCCGACCCCGCGATTTGGGTTGAACACTGGTCTCCCTGCAGCTCAGGGAACTGTCATTACATAGAATCTGGTTTTTTTTAAAAAAGGGAAACCCAAGCAAGTTTCGGGGCTATGCCCAGTCCCCTGAGAACCGGCGGAGAGGAAGGCGGCTTCCGATGGGAGCGGGTGTGGACGGCCCCCTCGGCCGCGGGGACTCTGCTCACACAGGGCAAGGGCGGGTGGGCCACCAGGTCCATGGGCGGCCCTGCGCACCCCACAGGTGCCAGCACAGCAGGCCGGCTCCCGCCCTCTGCCCCAGGAGGTCCCTCAGGCCCCGCGTTCCAGGCCCAGCTGGGCAGGGTCCTGACCCCCAACTGGAGGAGCCTGGGCCTGATCCCCTCAATGTGGCCGGAGGCTTCTGGGTGGGTGGCACAGGCACATCAAAGAGTGACAGCTTCTTTTTTTTTTTTTTTAAGATTTTATTTATTTATTCATGAGAGACAGAGAGAGAGGCAGAGGGAGAAGCAGGCTCCATGCAGGGAGCCCGAGGTGGGACTCGATCCCGAGTCTTCAGGATCACACCCTGGGCTGAAGGCGGTGTAAACCGCTGAGCCACCCAGGGATCCCTAGAGTGACAGCTTCTCTGGGAGTAAAGGGGTTGGAGCAAGCCACACAAAAGTACGTCCTCCACCCTTTTAAACATTAAGCTGAAAGTCAAGCCCATGCTCGCTTTAAAAAACTGCGTTGGCCTCTGAAAATCCAACTGAGAACTGGCCGAGGCAGCCCGCCCACGCTGGTGGCCGGCCACCGCGGACGCTTTAGGATCCGGAGCAAGGTCTCCGAAAATGTGCTTTGCTGGGGAAGGCCGGGATCACGCAGCAGGCCTGACCGTCCCACCCCTCCCACCTCGCCTCGGGCCTGGGTCCCCTCGTCACCCTGTCCAGACCCAGCGTCCTTGTCTCTGACCCTCGGACTGGGGTACTGCTCCCTGCAGGCCCGCGTGCCTGCGGTGCCCCCGAGATGCCCTCCTACCCCAGGACTCACTGTGACTGGCTTCAACTGGTCCTTGGAATCTCAATCCTGTGTCCCCTCTTGGGAAGGCCTTCCCACACAGCCTTCCTACTCCTTATCACGCTGCCTTCCTCCACACTGCTAGTCCGGCACCTCCGGAGCTGACACGGTCTCTCTAGTCTCCTGTACTCTTGACCTTCTCTCCCTACCAGAACATCCGCTTACGGTGAGGGCCTGGCCTGTCCACGGCTGCTTCCCCAGCTCCAACACTATAAGCATTTGGCAACCAACAGTCAGGAGCATATGCGACGTTCACGATAATTGGGGGAAAAGTCGAATACAAAATCCTATATATTCTGGTTCTAATTATTCAAAAAATGATGATCTAAAATAGGAGAAGTCAGGCTACATGCAAGGTTAAAGTAACATAGAAGCATGTAAGACAACTCACTTAAAAAAATTACATTCTCGGGGCACCTGGGTGGCTCAGTGGGTTGAGCATCAGACTCTTGATTTCGGCTCAGGTCATGACGCTTAGTGCGGGGTCTGCTTGGGATTCTCTCTCTCCCTTCCCCTCTGCCCATCCCACTACTCACTATAAATAGATAAATAAATAAAACCTTTTTTAAAAAAAGGATTACATTTTCATCTATGACGTTACTACAAGAAATTAAAAGGATAGCTTTCCCTATACCTTACAAAAGCTAGCCCTAACAGTGTAAAATAAATCAGACGTAGTAGTAGCTACAGTCCATGTGTCATCCTGACTCCTCACAACTCTGCAGGATAGGTGGTGGTGTTTTCCCCAGATTTGAAACCCGGGGCTCAGAAAGACTGAGGAACTTGCCCCCCACGGCCACACAGCTAAGTGGTTGAGCCATGCCGTGACGCCAGGTCTCTCCAGCAATACCTCTGTGTTGGCGGTGGTGCCTACAGATCTTTTATTGCTGAGATAGAAGTTGTATACAGGGAAATGCACGGACCTTCACTATGTATCTTGGTCCATTTTGACAAATGCATGCGCTCATGTGTGCTACACTCCCATAGGATGAAGAACATCACTCAAGAGTTTCTTCGCACACCTTCCCTGTTGATCCTCTTCCCCTGTAACCACTGATTTACCATCTGTCGCCATCAGTTAGGTTGCGGGTACTGGAACTTCACACACATGGAATCATACTGGACTTACTCTCCTCTGTTCATCTCTTTCCTTCAGTGCTGGAGTATGTTGATATTTCCATATGTTGACACAGTATTTAGTCTTTAGAGATCTCTGTGACACTTAAATTAGTGAAGCATAAAGTGTGTCGCTTATAGGACTTTGTAGTGAGGGTTGGAACTACGAGCATTCTGAGCGCTGGACTAAGAACCAAAAATCTTGGCTTCTCGTCCAAAACCCTACCACTGAGGGCTTTGTGACATTAACCACATTATTTGTTTAAATCTCTCTATAGATGTGTTCAGGTATAGGATTCTGTTCCTCTTAGAAACATATGAAAGAAAGAATGCAAGGTAACATGTCGTAC